ATTTTTATTTTATTTTTAATTTTGATTTTGCACCAAAGCCCACCTTTCATTGCACCACAAGCACAGTTCCCTTTGGGTGAAAATCCCATTTCCCTCAGAGCCCCCCAGAGCCCCGGAGCTCCAGGCAGGGTCGGGGCAGGGCCGGGATTTGTTCCTGGTTTGGGTAAACCCAAAACACAAAAATAATCGATTTATTCCTTTTTTTTTGTAAACCCAAAACACAAAAATAATTGTTTTTTTCCTTTTTTGGGTAAACCCAAACCACAAAAAATTGATTTATTCCTGTTTTGGGTAAACCCAAACCACCAAAAATCGATTTATTCCTGTTTTGGGTAAACCCTAACCACCAAAAATTTATTTTATTCCTGTTTTGGGCAAACCCAAACCACAAAAAATCGTTTTTTTCCCTTTTTTGGGTGAACCCCTCGCAGGCAGCTCTGCCCCTTTTGCACCGGGTACCTCAGCTCAGAACCCCAAACTTGAGTCAAAAACCACCAAAAAATTCATTTTTTGTTTGGAAAATCCTTTCCCTTCTTTGGAAAATCCTTTTTTTTTTTGGAATCTCCTTTTCCTTTTCCCAGAATATATTTCCTTTTTTTTTTAATACTTTTCCTTTTTTTTAATTTTTTCCCTTTTATTTGAAAGATTCTTTTCCTTTCCCTTTTTTTTTTTTGGAAGCTCCTTTTCCTTTTCTCAAAACATCTTTTCTCTTTTATTTGGAAGCTTTTTTTCCTTTTATTTAAAAGCTCTTTTCCCATTTTTTAAAGCCCTTTTCCCTTTTATTTTAAAGCTCTTTTTAATTTTCCACGGAGGAGAACTGGAAAAAAAACCCCACAAAAACCCCACAAAAACCCCGAGAATTTGTTCACATTTTCCTGCAGCTCCTTCCCTTTTCCCAGCAGGAATTCCCCCAATGCCCTGTCCCAAAATCCTGAAATTTTGGGGTTTTTTTAGGATTTTTTTAGGATTTTTTTAGGATTTTTGGGGGAACCATGTGGGACACTGAGCCAGCCACACAAACCCAGCCTGAGCTCACACTGTTTAATAAAACACTGCGGACACAGATTAACTCCCCTCGCCCAGGATTTATTGCTTCATGCATCTCCAGGGAAGCTGTGATGGACTGAAGCTTTCCTTGTTTTCATACTGCTTCTTTCTAACTTCTTACAGCACTGTACCCCCTCAACTCCCAGCAGATAACCCCCCAGGAGCAGCCCCACCCCCCCCGGCCTCATCCGGGGCTGGAATCCGGCAGATCCAAAAATAAAAAACTAAAAAATAAATTTAAAAATCAGCATAGCACTGAAAAGCCAAGCAAAAAACCCACAAAAAACCCACAAAAAATCTCCAAAAACGGGGAATCGCTTTCAGGTTGGTCCCGTTTTTGGGGAGCTCCGTGCAGACCCCGATTCCCAGCACGGGGAGGAACGAGGCAAACCCCGAACCCACAACAGCAGAGACCCCAGAAAGAACCGCTTTAAATCCTTTATTTTTTCATTGTTATTCTTTGGAATATTCCTTGATTTTGTCCCGATGTTCCTGGGGTGGGAACGTCGGGGTGGGATCCCCCCTTTGCCTTCAGTGAGAAACCAAAGGATAAAAACCCGACCCCTTCCCACTGGACCCGGCACGGACGCGTGGATTCCTCAGTTCAGCTTTTTCTTTTCCCTTTTTTCCCTTTTTTTCCCCCCTTTTTTCCTCCTTTTCTTTCTTTTTTTTCCCTTTTCTCCAAGGACACAAGGAGCTGTTCAATCCTCTTCTCCTGGCTGGAATTTTCTGGGCTCGGCAGTGAAAGGAGATGTATTTAAAAAAAACTCAATAAAAATCACAAAACTTGTTCAAAAATGATAAAAAAAAAAAGCCGAGGCTCACCCAAAACATCGCGGGGAGCTCTGGAGCTGCCCTAAAATCCTTGGAATTTTGGGGTGAGGCTGGAGGGGATGGGGGGAAACGTCTCTAAGGCATCTGTAGCAACTCTGTGTCTTTAATATCCTCCGTGTCAATGCTGCACCTCTGTATTTTATGCACATAAATGTTCCTTTGATGCCGACAGGACAAAAAAAAACCATAAAAACACACAAAAAAATAAATAAATATACAAAAAAAAACCTCATCATCACCTGTCAGGTACAAGCAACTCCTCCTTGTGCTGGTCCGTGTCTCGTCCGGGCCTCGTCCTCCCTCCTCTGCTCGTGCAGGGGGGACAAAAAGATGGGAGGGGGGGTAAAAATAACAAAAAAATATAAAAAAAAATTAAAAAAGGAAAATAGCCTTACTCGACCCAGTCGTTATCGATATTGTTCTTCGTCAACTTGAAAATAAATAAAGGAAACTTCGCATGGAAAGTTTTGGCCGTGGTGATTTTGGGGGTTTTTGGGGTTCCTGCTGCTCTTCCCGAGTTCCGAGGGTCCCAAAATCTTGGGGGGGTCCCAAAACCCTGAGGAGTCCCAGAATCCTGAGGGGTCCCAAAACTTTGAGGGGTCCCAAAATCTTGAGGGGTCCCAGAACCTTGAGGGGTCCCAGAACTTTGAGGGTCACAAAATCTTGGGGGGTCCCAGAACCTTGAGGGGTTCCAGAACCATGAGAGGTCCCAAAACTTTTAGGGGTCCCAAAATCTTGGGGGGTCCCAGAACTTTGAGGGTCCCAAAATCTTGGGGGGTCCCAAAACCTTGATGGGTCCCAGAACTTTGAGGGGCCCCTGAATCAGGGGGGTCTCAGAGCCTTGAGGGGTCCCAAAACCTTGAGGGGTCCCAGAACTTTGAGGGTCCCAAAATCTTGGGGGGTCCCAAAACCTTGATGGGTCCCAGAACTTTGAGGGGTCCCTGAATCAGGGGGGTCTCAGAAACTTGAGGGGTCCCAAAATCTTGGGGGGGTCCCAAAACCTTGATGGGTCCCAGAACTTTGAGGGTCCCAAAACTTTTAGGGGTCCCAAAACCTTGAGGGGTCCTGGAACCTTGAGAGGTCCCAAAATCTTGGGGGAGTCCTGGAACCTTGAGGTCCCCAGAAAAGCCCCAAAATCCGAATTTTATAATTTTATCTCTGACCTCCCATATCCGTACTCTCAGAAATCCTGCATCATTTGTGGGGGGAAGGAGGGAAGGGAAAGGAATTCAAAATTATTTTAAAAAGGGGATTAAAAAACCCAAAAAAAAAAGAGGCAAAACCACTCAAACCTGATCCATTTTCTCCCCTGTAACTTTGACCAAACCCTGGTTTTTTTTATTGCAGCTCTGGCTCAGTCCTTGCCCGGGGGTCTTCCCCCTCCTCAGCTCCTCCGGGGGGCTCGGATTTGGGTCGGGGGGCACCGAGGGGACCCCGGGAGGGGTCGGGGGGCACAGAGGGGACCCCGGGAGGGGTCGGGGGGCACCGAGGGGACCCCGGGAGGGGTCGGGGGGCACCGAGGGGATCCCGGGAGGGGTCGGGGGACACAGAGGGGATCCCGGGAGGGGTCGGGGCACAGAGGGGACCCCGCGCCCCCTCCCCCGGGGCTGCCCCGGCCCCGCGGTTTCTTGAGGAGGGGGCTGCAGCCCGAGGCTGGGGAGGGGCGGGGGTCGCGGGGGGCTCAGGGCTGCAGCCAGGAGCGCAGGTGCCCCTCGGCCAGGGCGATGCCCAGCATGATGCCCGCGCCCAGCAGGAACCCCGCGTTCTGCAGCGCCAGGCGGCTCCAGGTGCCCCCGCCGGAGCCGCGCAGCGCCTCGGGGAGCTGGGGGAGAGCGGGGGGGCTCCGTGAGACCCCCGGGGACCCCCAAATCCCCATGTGAGACCCCTGGACACCACCCCATGGACACCCCCAAATCCCCAGACCTCCCATGAGACCCCCGGACACAGCCAGACCCCCCCCCGGACACCCCCAGACNGGGCTCGGGGGGCTCGGGGGTGTCCCCAGCTCGGGGGAGGGGACGGGGAGGGGGACAGAGCCTCACCGAGCTCGTGGGGCAGCTCGTGGCAGAGCACGGCCAGCGCTGTGCTGAGCCCGCTGGAGAGGCTGTGAGAGAAGGCGGCTCCTGCGGGGGGAGAGAGGGTTCCTCGTCCGCTGTGCCCGTGTCCCCGGATCAGCGGGCAGCCCTTGGCCCGCTGTCCCTTGGTCCCTCTGTCTCCATTCCTGGATCACCGAGCAGCCCTTGGCCCCTTATCCCTCTGTCCCCCTGTCCCTTGTCCACCTGTCTCCCTGTCCCCGGATCAGCGGGCAGCCCTTGGCCCCTTGTCACCCTGTCCCGATGCACCCCTGTCCCCCTGTCCCCAGCATCCTTCTGTCGCTGAGGAAACCTTTCCCTTGTCCTTGTGCACCTGTCCTCCTTCCATCTCCGCCCCCATCCCCGCTCCCGTCCCCATTCCCATCTCCATTCCCGTCCCGGTCCCCGTTCCCGTTCCCGTTCCTGCTCCCGTCCCCATTCCCGTCCCCATTACCGTTCCCCATCCCCGTCCCCATTCCCATCCCCATCTCCGTCCCCGTTCCTGTCCCCATTCCCGTCCCTGCTCCCGTTCCCCTCCCCGTCCCCGCTCCCATCCCCGTTCCCGTTCCCCTCCCCGTTCCCGTCCCCGTCCCGCTGCCGTCCCGGTCCGCACCGATGGCCAGCCCGTCGGTCAGGTTGTGCACGCCGTCCCCCAGCACCACCATCCACGCGATGTCGGCGGCGCCGGGCCCGGGGGGCAGCGCGGGGCCGTGGGAGTGTCCGTGGGGGGGTCCCCGGGGGGGCTCCCGGGGGGTCCCCGGGGGTCTCAGCTCCGGCTCCGCCTCCGGCGCCGTCAGGAGCCGCAGCTCGGTCCCTGCGGCGGGACGGACACGCCGGCTCCGGTGGGTACCGGGGGCTCCGGGCCCGGGGGCTCCGGGGAGGGCTGCGGGGGGGTCGTACCTGCCGGTGACGGTGCCGGGACCCCCGCGGGGGTCTCTCCATGGGGGCGTCCCTGGGGAGAAGGGAGGCGCTGTGTGCGGAGCTGGCCCCGGTGGCGGCGCCGCGCCCGCCCGGTGCCCGCCGCTCGTTCTCCCGTTCTCCCGTTCTCCCGCTCTCACCGTGGCCTCGCGCCGGCGCCGCAGCATCCCCAGGAGCAGCTCCAGCACGAAGAGCAGGTAGATGCCCCCCAGCACCGCCAGCCCCTGCAGCACGGCGGGGCTCGGCTCCCCCGGAGCCTCCGGGTGCCTCCCCTGCGCCTGCACACGGGGACGCGGCGGCTCAGGGCACCGGGAGCCCGCGGCGTGCCCGGTGCCAGCCCCGCGGCGGGACCTACGTGCGGCCAGAGGTGCAGCAGGGCGTCCCCGCAGAGCGTCCCCACGGCCAGGGCCACCAGGAAGGCGAGGAGCGAGCGGAAGGAGCCGCGGGCCCGCAGCGGGAGCAGCAGCACGGCCAGCGCGGACGGGAGGCTCACGGAGAGCACGGCCAGCAGCGCCCAGCCCAGCGCTGCGGGCACCGTCAGCGGCACGGCCCCACCGGGGCACCGGGAGGGCGCGCGGGGAGGTGGGGAGGGGGGCCCGGGGGTGGGGACCCCAGGGATGGGGGCACCGGGGTGGGAATGGGGACCCCAGGATGAGGAATTCAGGGATGGGAACTCAGGGATGGGGGACTCGGGGACGGGAATGGGGACCCCAGGATGGGAAGTTCAGGGATGGGGACCCCAGGATGGGGGAATGGGGACCCCAGGATGGGGAATCCAGGGATGGGGAACTCAGGGATGGGGGACTCAGGGATGGGGGAGTCGGGGATGGAGATCCCAGGGTGGGGAATTCAGGGATGGGGACTCAGGGATGGGGAACTCAGGGATGGGGGACTCGGGGATGGGAATGGGGACCCCAGGATGGGAAACTCGGGAATGGAATGGGACTCAGGGATGGAGATCCCAGGGTGGGGAATTCAGGGCTGGGGACTCAGGGATGGGAAATTCAGGGACCCCAGGATGGGGGAATGGAGACCCCAGGATAGGGAACTCAGGGATGGGGGAATGGGGACCCCAGGATGAGGAATTCAGGAATGGGGAACCCAGGGATGGGAATAGGGACCCCAGGATGGGGAATTCAGGGATGGGGACTCAGGGATGGGGAATTCAGGGATGGGGACCCCAGGGATGAAGGAATTCAGGGATGGGGACTCAGGGATGGGGAACTCAGGGATGGGGAATTCAGGAATGGGGACCCCAGGGATGAAGGAATTCAGGGATGGGGACTCAGGAATGGGGAACTCAGGATGAGGAATTCAGGGATGGGGACACAGGGGTGGAGACCCCAGGCATGGGGGAATGGGGACCCCAGGATTGGGACCCCAGGATAGGGAATTCAGGGATGGGAGCTCAGGGATGTGGGGATGGGGGTCTCAGGGAGGTGGGGATGGGGACCCCGGGGTGGGGAACCCCAGGGATGGGGGAATGGGGAACCGAGGGACCGGAACCCCAGGAACCCCTGTCCCAAGGATTTAGGGACAGGGACCCCAGGGATGGAGACCCCAGGCTCAGGAATGGGGGGCCAGGGCGGCACAGGGCTCAAGTAGGGGGACACAGGGATGGGGGTGAGCAATGGGGACACCTTGGGGACGCAGGGACGGAGACCCCCACACCACAATGGGGACAGAGGACCTGCCTCGGGACACGGGGACCCCTGGGGACGCAGGACCCCGGGAGCAGCTCGGGGACCCCAGGGTGCGGCTGCAGGGACGGGGGATCCGGGGCACGCAGGACGTGGGGCCGGGGGCCAGCTCGGAGCCGCGGGCTGGGGTTACCTGGCCACGGGGTGCCCCCCGGGGGGGGCAGCGTCACCTCATCGCGGTGCCGGATGCAGACGCGGCTGTCGATCTGGTAGAGCAGCGCGGGGCACAGCAGCGTGAACTGCTCCGGGGTCAGCTGCGCCGCCGAGTCCAGCCCGAAATTCACCAGCAGCTGGCTCACGTTCAGGCACTGCGGGCGGGGGGAGACGCTGGGGATGGGGGGGGGTCCCGGAGAGCAACCGGGGGGCAACCGGGGCTCCCCCGGGCTCCCGGACAGCGCGACTCCCCCGTCCCCACTCACATCGTGGTGCGGGTGGTCGCTGGAGTGCTCCAAGCCCAGCACCCTGCCCAGCAGGCTGAGGGTGGGCTGGTAGTGCCGGGGGACCCCCGCAGCCGCGGGGGGCTCGGCGGGCACCGGCTGGGGCCAGCTCGGCGTCTGCGAGGGCGGGGGGCTGCGGGAGATCGGCGTGCTGAGCCCGGCGCAGCGCGGGGTCGGGGGGCAGCCCCTCGGGGAGGAGACCCCGGGGTACCTGGGGGGTCCGGCGGTGCTCGGAGCCGCGTCGGGGCCGTGCTCCCGCAGCGGGTGCCGGTGCCGGTGCTTGTCCTGCTGCACCTCCAGCAGGTCCAGGTGGCTGACGTGGCCGTGGCCCAGCTCCTCGTGCTGGATCTGGACCACCTGCACCCTGCCCAGCCCCAGGCTGCCCAGCAGCCGCGCCAGCCCCTCGGAGGGCAGCGTCCCGTTGTGCCCGTACTGCCCGAAGAGCTGCCGCAGGTAGTAGCCGTGCTCCTGCGCCGCGTCCTCCGGGAGCAGCGCCGGGGTCCCCGCGGCGCCCGCGACCCCCGGCAGGAGCAGCCCCAGCACGGCCAGGAGGAGCGCGGCGCGGCTCATGGGGCCGGATCGCGCCTAAAGCTGGGGGACAGCGCGGGGTTGGGGTCACCCCGAAGCCCCCCCGGGGTCGGGGGGGGTCTCTCCGGGCAGCCCCCGCTGTCACCGCGTGGGGAAAGCGACAGGCGGCACCAGGGTCACCGCACGGGACACGTGTGGCGGCGGCGGTGGCACCTGGGGACACCCCCGAGGAGCGGGGGGGGCTTGGGGAG